CTCAGAAATCACACCTTATTCCACTAATGCCTAAGTGACAGTAAGAACAAAAGGATTAGATGTGGTACTTTTTGCCTAGGAAAGTGTCCTCAAAGAGTGCAACAATGAATGAGTGGAAGCCCAAAATCTCTGTAAATGTTTATGAAAATTAATAAAATATAATTATAGGGAAAAAAAGTTAAAAAAAAAAAAGACTACGGTGAAACTGATCCAGAACAATTTCTTGCTATGCATCAGAGACCTGAACAATGAACAATTAATAAACACCAAAGAACTGATGCCCTTGAGTTGTGATGCTGGAGAAGAGTATTGAACATACAATGGACTGCCAAGGGAACTAAGAAGTCTGTTTTGGAGAGGGTGATGCCAACTTGCTCTCTGGAGGCACGGATTTTAAAGCTCCATCTCACATATTTTGAACATGTTTTCAGGACAGAACAGTCCCTGGAGAAGGACATCACGCTTGGAAGGGCGGAGGGACAGCACAGGAGAAGAAGATCCTGGATGAGATGGTTTGACAGAATAACTAGGGTAATGGGGGCAGGTGTGTTTGAGACAGTGAAATTGGCTCAGGATAGCACAGAGTTCAGAGCTATTGTACATATGGTTGCTATGAGTTGCAAGAGGCTTGACAGCCCATAACAACAATAACTAGTAAAAAACAAAACAAAATGACAATAACAACAACAACAAAAAACACACACACAATTGGAAGCATTTCAATATATATAAAACCCTATCTCATACCAACGAAGGTTAATCTCGAGTATATAAAGAGCTATTGGAAAGCTGAACAATGGGGGAAAGGAAGAAAGCTGAACAATGAATAAGCATGACAGAAGGAGAAGCCTTTGAGCTGTGGTACTGGAAAACAGTACTGAATATCTCATGATATTCAAAAGAACAAGAAAATATATCTTAGAAAAAGTACAACCTGGGTGCTCCTTAAAGGCAAGGATGGTGCAATTGGATCTCACAAACGCTGGGCATGTTGTTAGGAGGGGCAGGCCTTTGGAAAAAACAGCATATTTAGAAAGGTGGAAGGTCAGCAAAAGCTAGGCAGCCCTTCAACAAGATGGACTGGCACAATGACTGTAACCGTGGGCTCAGGTGTATCACAGAGGATGAGGATGGCACAGAGTCAGTAAGGCAAGGTTCACAGGGTCGCTAAGAGACACAATTGACTCAATAGCACCTAATGCAACAATCAAAAGAAAAATGGCAATGAGCTTGAACAGATATTTCACCAATAAAATAAATATAAATGACTCTTAAACAGATACATAGATGTTAAAACCAATTCATACTGAGAGAAAAATGCAAATTAGTACTGCACTAATACTATTTCTTTCCTAACAGATTGACTGTGAAGAGAGGTATTATTTTTTGTTACAGAGAAGTACAAATCTTGACACATTGTATAGAAAATTTGGTATTCTCTTCCAAAGTTACAAACCCAATGATTCAATCCCTGGGGACAAACTGATGCACAAAATCAGGTGAACAATTAGAAACACCCACTGGCTGGGCAAGCCCACTCTTCAATGTATCCTATGCATTTGCCTCCACATGTACAATGTACCCAAGATTTTATATTTTGTCACTGCACAAACAAAAGAGAAGAAACAACCATAACAAAAGGCAGCAGCACTTTTCTGGTAGTTCAAATTCACCAGAAGCTTCTAGGAAGAAAGATAGGCAATCTCCTCCCAAGCGATTTACAGTCTGAAATCACATTCAACAGCAATAAAGTTTAAATTTTACCTCAAAACCTGGTTCTAAAAAAAAAAAAAACAAAACCCAAACCTGGTTCTCCATTGACCTCAGAATTCAGTCCCAATTCATTTACCAAGTACTGAGTATTTTGGTGCCAGCCTTTTCCCTTTTCAAACCTCACTGAACATTACCCAAAAATAAGGCTCTGTGCTCTCCCTTCAGACATCCAACATCTCATCCCTGTGTCTTCACTTACTCTCTTCCTCTACCTAGAATTCTTTTCCTCAACACCTCTGCATGCTCCACCCTACCTGTCATACACATTGGCAGCAGCCTCCTCCAAGAAGCTGTCTATGATCTACCTTTCTAGAAGATGTGTACCACATCTTTTAATCAGCATTTCTTCTGTGTGTTATCTACTGTATAACCTTTCTTACTACAATTTCCCCAATCATTACATCTATATACTATGCACTTCCTTAAGCACTAAAGCATCCATATGTTTACATTAGCAGATACTAAAATATATACATATGTAAAATATATAAATTAATTCTAACTAGAGAAAAATCCCCATCTTTTAATTTTTTTTACATTTTTATTGTATTATTGTACGTGTACCGTCAAATCAGATCTGACTGGTACAGAAGGAGATTGCCCCCTCCTTCTCCAGCAGAGCATCTGGTGGATTTGAACCATGTACCTCTGGGGATTGCAGTGCAGCATCTTGCCATTAGGCCACCAGAAAATCCCCATTTTAAATATTATAAATTATATGTTTATTTGATAAACAAAAATCTGTCAAAACTTTAATTCATGTAAGAGCTTCAAGATTTCCTGACATGTTGAGAAGTGCAAAAGCTCTATTATTCTCACACAAATGGTTCTTCTTTCTCAAATTTCCCAGAGAATTTGTTACACATGAAGCTCTGTCCCCCAGATCTGAAGAATTTCTTTCCCAAGTCAAATGCTTAACATGCTGGGTGAGGGCAGAAGACTTGTTCACAATGAAGGAGGTGGAAATGGGGAAAGGAGAGTACACAGCTTACCAAGAAAATGACTTCACATGTTCCTGAATCAGGATCCAGGTCTGGCCAAAATCGTCTGACTTCCATAGCTGCAAAGATCAAAGTAACAAGAGGAGGTAGTGATGTAAGAAGTATGTGCAACCGGAATCCCATCACAATAGAATGCCTACTCAAATCTGCTTTACATGACATGCCGCCCATGGAAACAGAAACCAGTGTTATTAAACCAGCCTGGTTAGTCCAAAAGCAAACAAAGGCAAGGAAGGACAAATCTCTACCTTTGCATTCTTCTCCACAGTTATGAAAGCTATCAAAGCAATGAGAAGGAAAAATGAGGTAACTTATCTCTCATTTGTGAGTTCTCAGAAATCACACCTTATTCCACTAATGCCTAAGTGACAGTAAGAACAAAAGGATTAGATGTGGTACTTTTTGCCTAGGAAAGTGTCCTCAAAGCCCACAATGAGGCATCAAGACCTCATAGAGTCTTCCCCTCTTGCGCTGTCCCTCTACCCTCCCAAGAATGATGTCCCTCTCCAAGGACCTGTCCCTCCTTACAATATGTCCAAAGTATGTCAGAGGAAGCCCCAGAATCCTTGCCTCCAAGGAGCTACCCGGTTTAACCCTCTCCAGGATGAATCTCTTTGTTTTCTTGGGAAAGTCTGCTGTTAGTGACCTCTCCGGGGTACTGAAGAGCAATGGTCTTTGCAATCACTTGTTATGCACCAGAGAGTTGGACAATGACTAGGGAGGAAAGAAGGAGAATTGATGCCTTTGAGCTGCAGTGTTGGAGAGAGTATTGAACTCAAAGATAAGTGGTGCTAATTCACCAGTGGCTCCTGGGGAGAAATCTGGACAATCTCCTCCCGTGCAATGTGCAGCCTCTGAAAATCCACCATAGGGTGAGCTATGAGTTCATGCCCACTCGAGAGCAATGACTGAGTGAAGGAAGCCTAGAGTCAAAGGCTACAGGGAATGATCTGAATGTGTGGGTATGGTCACTTTGCCAAAGCCCTAAACTCCTGAATTCAATCTGAGGTTTCTCCAGTCCCAACCAGTTGTTGTCAGGTTGACCCTGGCTCATGCTCACCCCATACGTATCAGAGAACTATGTTCCATAAGATTCCTTGATGGATGATTTTTATTTTTACTTTTTTCAGAAGTGGACTTTCAGGCTTTCTTCTTAAGATACCTTTGGGTGAATTTAAACCTCTAACCTTTAAGTGACAGAGCTCTAGTTGTCTAGTGGTTAAGTATTTGTGCTGCCAACCCAAAAATACATGGCTCAAATCCAGTAGCTGCACCATAAGAGAAAGATGAGCAATCTCCTCCCGTGCAATTTACTGCCTTTAAAAACCCACTGAAGGGTCAGCTAGGAATTGATTCTGACTCAAGGGCACATAACAACAATAATCTTTCAATGACCAGGTGAGCAGGTTCAGCCTTTGCACCTCCTTGGAGCTCCTCCTTCTGGCCACAGCAACCATGTACTTAGAGGTATGAAGTCAAGCTTAACAATAAACCACTTGTAAGTGACCCAGCTCATATTTAGATCATTATCTAAGGCAAGCAAGGATAAACAGATCATGTTTTGGTTAAACAATCCGCAAGAAAAAGAAATATTCTAAGGTTCCTTGACCAAAACACATCTCAAACTCACAAATCCAATCCCACAGGATCGGTAGGCTTCCTAGATTTCTGCTAGATCACTATCCTTGGCCTGACAAATTTGAGCCTGGAGGTATAAATCCATTTCTCACCTTTCCCTCTGACCTGGATTAAAGGAGGAAAATGCATACATTTATACTATACACAAACACACAAAGGCTTAACATTGTTAATATTACCATTAAGAGTAAAGTGTTTAAAGTGGAGGATATGGAAGGTAGAACAAAAGGCTGACAGGAGTTTCTAGAGCTCAGATGCCAGACTTCTCTAACTGGTTCTCGCTAATTAAATTCCAGGGCCTCACTTTGCCCAAAAGGCCAGCAAAGGTGCACCTGCACTTAGACAGGTAAGACGTTTAACTAATAAGCCTGTTGAGGACTGAGTGTGGACCCTGGTTTGGATGCAGGCTTAGAATGTCACAGGGACAGATTTTTCCTTAGCCATGGTAAATCACACAGCAGCTACAAAGATTATACCTGACAGCCAGGGAGGGAGGGGTAAAGGGAGGTCACTCAAAGGACACACAGTCCCCATGGGCAGAGAAGAAAACTGGAGGTGCCCACACCCACACCATGCCCACCAGCAGGCTCTCTCTCTTACCTGCTTATTGGGGTGAGATCTGTCAAAGCCCAGCAGAAGGTTTGAGGCCTTGCTATGCAGGAGGAGATCGGCTGCCCGAAACGGGATGGAAAAGCCTTGGAGAGTGTTGCAGAAGTCAAACGTGATCCAAAGGTACTGAGCATACGTGTCTGCAAAGATGTACTGTGAGAGAAAGCAGATGGCATGAGAGCTGGACTTGGCCAAAGTGACCCAACACTGTGTCCAAACGGAGTAAAATGGGAGGCAGGACCCTAACAAGGGACCAAATGCTCACTGGCATCCACACTAGCTTTCTCACCACCACCAGACAAAGGCGGGGCTACAAACAACACTCAGTGACAGCAGGGGTGGAAATGGGCCCAAGAGAGGCCACAGTCTGGCCGTACTTAACCAACTAATCCAAGCATTTTTATTTTCCCCTTGTCTTTCGACTGATCGATCATTTTACTTGCTGGTTGGTGACTCCATGCCAACAAGAGGGACACTATTGGCAGCTAGGACAAAGAAGTCATGCTCTTTAGACTGGTTAAACTGAGAAAATGGTCAGAGGACAAGTGTGCACAGATGGGAATGCTGTCTGACCGGAGCCTCTGAGCAGCTCAGGACCTGACTTTCCAGAGAATTCGTTAAAGTCGCATCTGCACAGGACGGCAAGCTTCTCATTCTCATGATGACACAGGCGGCAGGGCAGCTCTGGGATGCAGCCTCCCTGTGGCTAACACTCTCCCTGGGCAGAGCAGGAAGTGGTTCTGGTGAGCAGGGGCCCACCTTGTTTTGCTCATGCACGCGTGAGTGACTCTGAACAAGTTGGGCTGAATAGTGACTGTCAGCCTAAGGAATTCTCTAGAGGAAAGGCTGGAGTCAGTTCAAATTAGCAAGTGTGCTTTGAATATCCACCAACGGCGGCACCACCATGAAAACACAGATCTGCCCCTTCAATTTGCTTGCAACCCAATGTGGGAGGAAGGCACAGCTCTGGAAACTGTAATTCAAGGGGAATGTGGTCAAACGACAGATGACAGGTTGTGTTAGGAAGCCCAGATTATAGGAGGACGGGTCTAGGTTGGGAGGTGAGAAACGACTCCATGGAAAGGTGGGCCTTGCAGGGCCAGGAAGACTTCCACAGGGAAAGAACATTTCAGGCCCAGGGAAGTTTGAGTTTGGGTGCAAAGAAAGGGGGAGATAAAACATAGTGGATTTAAGGACACAAAGTATGGCTGGAAAGCACAAGTTGGTGGAAGGCCTTGAATGCAGAGGTGAAATCTTGAGAGCCACCCAGCTCCCAGGAGACACAGGGCAACTCAGGGACCATACAAACCAGAAACTAGAATAAGGGGGACCCAGCTCCTCCAACAACCAAAGCTGAAACCCTAGAGATAAACCAATACAAAGGAATCCACCGAATCACTTTCCCTAATTGGCTCCACCTGACCCAGATTGATCTTCAGCCTGGAGTCTTTTCAGCACTCGTAGCCTCAGCCTGAACTAATATTCACACTTGTTCACATGTTGCTTTCATATGTTCTTAAGTCTTTTTCACTTGCGCTCTTTCCCCCACAAATCCAGACTGCAACCTTGCTGGGAGCGTATTTTATGTGTTCTCTATCTCTTATGTGTTTTCTCTATGGCGTCTAACACAGAACTCTGCTCTCTGCAGAAGGCTAATTAAATTTACATAGAAAGAGCTGTCAATGTTTTGGAAGCAAAAACTGCAAAAAGCAAAGGCAGTATTATAAAAAGTCTCAATTCTAAGAGTATCATCATAATTTGGGGTATGGACATGACCCCTATTAACAGCTTAGTCCACCTTCCTGCCCTCCCAACCCATCCTGGATTGAGGATATTATTAGGGATTTGAAAAGATTTCTCTAGAATCCTGCTCCATGCAATCTCATATTTGAGAAGCTAAAAACCAGCACATACTCATGTTAATAACGTAAGTGTTAAGTGTTTAAGAACGCTTACTATATGCCAGGCACTGAATTCAAATTTTGTCTGCTTTATCTAATTTAGTCCTCACAGTAAATCAGCACTTTCAATATCACTGGTATCTTCTCTTTTACTAATGATAAAACTGAACCTCATAGTAATTAATGGCTCAAGGTGGCACAGCTATTGGACAGTATATACTTCAGAGTCAGGCTCTGGAGTAGGGATTCAAGCCACTTTTTCATAGTTCAGTCACGGCCAATGAAGTAAAACTGAAAGGGACGTGAATTTGCAAAATGTGAGTACATTAGAACAAACACTGAAACGGGGAAAACTATGGGTGCATACTCTGTTAAGAAATTTAATCCACTTGTTAGAAAACAAGGTCCATGTGTGCATATCAACCAAATCTCTTGACTGCCAGAGTCTGAAACAACACTGCCTTGCTCAAAGATGGCAGCTGGCTACACTGCTTTGAATGTGTGTCACTCTTCCTTGACAATAGTCCTAGCTCATGCATCAGGCTCTTTAAAGGGTTCACTCTAACTCTTCTGAGTTTACCATTCCAAGTCTTTGATCCATATCTTTTCCCATTCTTCTTATCATTCCAATATATCCCTTTAACAAACTTGGACCAATTCTGATTTAGGCCATAAGTCAACCATTTCAAAGTATTATAAAGCCCTATTCCAGAGCCTATCAACCATTCTCTCTCCATCAAATAGACAAGTTACATTTACGGAACTTTATAGGACTCACATAGTACTACTTGACTCATTTCTGTCCCTCTTTCTGTAATCCTTGTCTTATATACTCAAATCTCTCTCTTCCTTTGCCTTTTATGACATGTATCATCTCAACCCTTCATGCAACAGTCTGAGCACCTTGGTCCTTTGTATCACTTCCGCTGTCTGTCTGTCTCCATCCACCCATGACCTTCAAGTAACCTCACTATCCTTGGCTCTACTATCAAGCTGGTGTACCCTTCCTCATAGCTGCAACTTCCACCTTAAAGAATAAGAACTCTTGGCGAGCTCTGGTGGCCTAGTGGCAAGAAGCTGCACTGTAATCTCAGAGGTGCATGGTTCGAATCCACCAGATGCTCTGCTGGAGGAGGAACAATCTCCTCCTGTATCAGTCAGATCTGATTTGACAGTACACACAAAAAAATTAATGAAATAAAATAAAATTTAAAAAACAAACAACAAAAAAAACCCCAACAAACTAATAAAAAAAAAAAAAAGAACAAGAACTCCATGACTTACGAGTCAACAGTCCAACCTGGACTTCTCATCAATTGCCCTCTTCACAACCTGATGGGTCAAACTGTCCAAAATGAAGTCAACACTTTCCACTAAAACGTCCTAATTTCTACCCATACCTTCTCCTAGTTCCACTATTAATACTAAGAGTTTGCTTTTTACTCCATTTCCTTCCTTTGGTCCTAACATTCACTCACCTTTCATGTTACATTTTCCTTTTAAAAAGTAGTTTCCTCTTTGTCCCCAGGGTTACCAGCAGGGTCCCTGTTAGAGGCTGTCAGCGGAAGGATAGGCACTGGAGATTATTTATTCTCAGGGCTTTATGAAATAGCAGGCTAGGTGAAGTACTCAGAAGATAATGTTAGGTATTAAGTGACTGAGTAAAGTCACAGCTGTGTCGCCACAATTGTCCCCCTTCTAGACATTTCTTGAATTTTTCTCTTCCTTCTTTTCCTCTATCATGCACACTGCCTGAAGATATGATCGCTGGTTGCTATGAGCAGGCGCTGACGCAAGACAACCTTACCTACATGGAACACTTCCAAGTTCGTTAAGTGTGTGTTCATCTGTTACAGCTGCTAGTCTTGTCCAAGCTAAGGGACTCAATTCCCAGCACTGTATCAGACAAGACTCTATTGTGATCCCACTTCCAATCCTAAACACAAAGCCTCTATTTTCCTGATCCAACATCATTTCACTCTGCTCCCCAGTCAGTTCCACCATCCCTTGGTCATGGGGTGCTCCATGCTGCTGTCACTGGGTCACTTTTTTCGCATCTTAGGAAGGGAGCGGATGTCTCTGCTATGACGGCCTCACTACCACTCGGCTGTCAAGTTTACTCCAGGACAAACACAACTTTGCATATAGAACTGACCCACTGGGTACTCCCTGAACCAACAAAGCTAGCTGTAACTGAGTGGATCTGACTCACGTTTACCTGAATCCCCACATGTGCCTGAGAAGTCTACAGAGTTTTCAGTGGCTGGTTAAAGGAACAGACCACCAGGTCTTTCTCATGAGGCATCTCTGGGTGACTTGAACCTCCAACCTTTTAGCAATAGAGTAACTTTACTGGCACTACACAAAGATCTAAATCATGCAATTTCATGTAGAATGCTCATGTTCTCCCAACCCAGTCTGTATTTACTTAATGTTACAGGGAAGCTCCGTTCTTTGCCTAAAGCCTTGTTTCTTCTTAAAATACAAAAAGCTCTAGAGAAAAGGCAAAGTAAGCTATAGCATTTATCTATATATTCTTCTTGTTGTTGTAAGTCACCTGTGACTCACAGCAACCCTATTTACAACAGCTCTGAAGCCAGCCCTGTCCTAAGCCATTCTCACCTACTCCCATTGCCCCAGTTACTGAATCAACCCATCTCCTCTGGGGTCTTCCTCTCCTGCATTGTCCCTCCACCCTTCCAAGCATGATGTCCTTTTCCAAGGATGGGCTCTCCTGGCTACATGTCCAAAATACGTGAGCTGGAACATCAAAATCTTAACATTCAAGAAGAAACTTGGTTTCACCCTCTCAAAGATAGACCTGTTTATTTTCTTGACAGTCAATGGTTTGTTCAAGACTCTTCTCCAGCACCACAACTCAAAGGCATCAATTTTTCTTCTGTCATCCTTAGTCACTGTCCAACTCTCTGATGCATAGCAAGTAACTGCAAATACCATAGCCTGGATCAGGCACACCTTAGTCTCTAGACTGACACTGTTGCTTCTCAGTATTCTGGAGAGGTCTCTGACAGCAGATATTCCTTATGCAATTCATCTTTTGATTTCCTGACTGCTGGTGCCAACAGTGTTGATTGTGGAGCTGAGCAAAGCTCTAATTGTTAACCTCAACCTCTTCTCCATCTATCATGGTGCTACCAATTGGCCCAGTGGTGAAAATCTTTATCTTCTTGATGTTGAGCTTCAATCCATATTGAAGACTACAGTCCTTGACCTTCTGTAGCAAGTGCTTTAGGTCTTTTTCCGTTGTGTCATCTGCATAATGCAGGTTGTTGATGAGTCTATCTCCAATCGTGATGCCAAATTCCTCTTCATAAATCCCAGCCTCCTGAATGATCTTTTCTGCATAGAGACTAAGAAGGGATAGAGACAGGATGCATCCTTGATGCACTCTTTTTCTGATTTTCAACCATGTAGTGTTTCCCTGTTCTGAGAACTGTTTCCTGGTCCAAGTACAGGTTTGCATAAGCATAATCAAGTGTTCTGGGATTCCCATTTCCCTCAAGGTTAGCCACAATTTGTTGTGACCCACAGAATCAATTGTATAGTCAATGAAACACAAATAGACATTCCTCTGGTACTCTTTGCTTTCTGATAAGATCCATCTGACATTGGCAATAATGTCTCTACTGCCACAACCAACCTCTTCTAAACTCAGCTTGTATTCTGGTAATTGTCTGTTGATGAATTGTTTCAGTCATTTTTGGATAATCTTCAGGAGGATTTTGTTTGCATGTGACCTTTGTGATATTGTTCAATAATTTCCAAATTGTCAGGTCACTTTTGGGGGGGAATGGGAATAAATATGGATCTTTTCCATTCAGTTGGCCAGATAGTTGTCCTCCAGATTTCTTGGCACAACATGGTGAGCACATCCAAGGCAGTATCTATGTTGAAATGTGTCAAGTGGTATACCAACAGGCCTTATTTTTTGCTAAGTTCTTCAGAGAAGCCTGCACTTCCTCCTTCATCACCATTGCCTCTTGATCATGTTTCTTGAAATTTTTCTCTGTTAGCCAATTCTTTTTGGTACAGCTACTCTGTATACTCCTTCTATCTTCTTTTAATGCTTCCTGGATCATTCTATATTCTGCCCATAGCATCCGTAAGTATTGCAACTCGCAGCTTGAATTTGTTCTTTAGTTCCTTTAGCCTAAGAAGTACTACCTCAGATAAAAATCCTTCCCTGAAGCTAGTACATGGGATTTGGACTTAAATCGTCCTAAATGCTAAACAGACATCAGTGGGAGAGACCAGCAGCAATGTGAGAGGCACAGGACATCACAGAAGTGACCTGTGGCCTATCTATATGTTGTATGAGTTATCTCCCCCCCCCCCCCGTTTTAAGTATCAAAGCCAGGAGAATCTTCCAGAGCTACTACCACTCACTCATTCCAACCACTGCACTCACAGGCTGCAGCCAGCTATAACCTATCCACATTAGTGATTCTCCTTGGCTCTGCAACCTGGTATTGACAACAAGGCATACAACCTGAGGTGATGTTTCTCAGGATGTGGTAGGTCTGGTGGCGGCACCTGCCTCCCAAGGCACCAAGACATGAGTAACAAAAGCCACCAGCACAGTAGAGTCGTCATTTCATTCCTGAGAAGTCTGGGCAGGGGGCTTCTCTGGGGAATCAGGAGCGCTGCTCCAAAGGCTGACTCTTGCCTCACTGAGCCCATGGTTTAACCATTACGATAGACTCTAAGCAAAAGGCTCAACTCAACAGCTCCACGCAAATCCAACTCAATCCAGCCCTTAAGCTGCAAGCATGTTGACCCCATCTCACCTGGCAGCACTTACTGCTCCTTTAATAAGCTCACCTCCTAGTGTCTCCTTTCTTCTCCCCACCACGTCATCACAGCCCCTGTCCTATTCCTTTCCTAGTCCTACTGCTCCAGCAGGCTCTCATCTTTCCCTGCACTGATCCTCCTCTCTTGCCTCATCTTTCCTCCTAACTTCTCAATCCTCAGCTGTGGACTCTGAGTAGTTGCTCACCAAACCAGTAAGGATTTACCAGTAAGTACAATTTGCTTAGACCTCTGTGTACTCTGGTGCAAAGGGGTGTGGGCTGGGAGTGGGGGAAATGACACAGATCAAGCTAAAAAATGACAAATCCAGAAGGACATCAGGACAGTTCCAAGACCTGGTCCCTAAGCTACCAACGTATTCTCAGTCACAACTTCAACAAGAGTTAGCTCCGAGACAATGTGTAAAAAAGCAGTGACAGGAACAAGACAGGCCAAGACTGACAGAGTAAGTCACACTGATGCTTGACAGCTGAGGCATACAGAGCTCCCCAGAGGAGGGTCAATACAGCCAGAAGCTGGACACTGGCAAAGTCTACCACCCTACAAGAGCCAAGAGCACATGAAGCAGCAGGGTCCACCCAGCTCAAGGACCCCTAGCAGCAGTGCAGTGGTGAGAGAGGCCCTGAAGGCCAGCAGTCATGCCCAGCTGCTCTGTATTATCCTAGTTATGTAGGAGGCAGAGGGTTAGCTAATTCCTAACTGCCACACCACTTTGAGAGCAATATGCAGTATTGGTATTAAATGGTATGTCCCAGTAATGATTATTCTCCCTGTTTAAAAAAAAAAAGTTTCTATACCGGTTGGTAAACGGTCACAAGTATTCCCCTCATAAATCCCAATGATTTGCACCTCCTTACAATCCAGCAACTGAAAGGTTAAAGTCTAGCTCAGCAGGAGGTCGGCCAGGACCAGCCCCTTCTGGACAGGCTGCTCTGATTGGCCAGTGCCTGGGCCACAACACTCACTAAAAGCCTGCAAACAGCCCCTAGAAGGAGGACCCAGTAGAGTTTGCTCTCTTGTTCCTTCTTGACACAGCAGGAACAGCAGCTACTCTTCTCTCAGAAAGCTTTCGCTACTACGAAGTTTCTCTGCATCCTTAGAAGTAGTCAGCTGGCTCTGGAGAAGAGGTAGGCTGCACTGGAGCAGGGAAGAAGGCATTCAAAGAATGACAGGAGAGCAAAGAGGGAGCCAACTAGCAGGAAAGCTTCACAGGAGCTTGATTCCTGCTTCCACACTCCAGCTCCCTGGGGCTCAGGGCGAGAGATGCCTCCTCCAAATGAAGCCTGCCAGACTCCACTGCAGAGACAAAGCCGGGTAGGCCAGCCAGCTGGTAAAACAAATCAGGAGAGACTGCAATACCTGCTGCTCTGGATTTCTTTATTCCACTAGCACAGATTCAGAGATATGGGAGGGAGGAGAATATACATACTAGCATACACAAACACACTTACCTCCTCTCTCTCTCTCTCACTCTCTCACTCTCTCACACACACACACACACAGCTAAGGAAACTAGGTTAGTAGCTATTCCATCACTTAGCCGATTCCCTGTGCCTTCACTTCCCATTGGATGTGCTAGAAGCCCCAGCTAGCTGTTACTGGGCCTGCCTGCTTATTAAGCACAGTCCCATCCTGAAAACTGCACAAAACCCCAGGTGAGCTCCCAGTCCTCTTGCAAAGGGCAAAAGGCGATATTCAGTGCCACAAGCTACCCAGAACCCAGCCCCGAGAAGTCACAACACTGCCTCCTTACGCGCTTGTTGTCCGCAGGGCTGTGGTAGAACTGGGCGATCACTGATTCACTGCTATTCCCCACACCAAAGTTCAGCTTCTCAGAAATTTTCTTGAAAGACTTTCCATAGTCATAAGACACATACACCTAGAACAGGGAGGAGGAGGGAAAAGAGTTGGTGAGAAATCAGACTCTCTCATTCTGCCTCCACTTTCAGATGTTCCACCTTAAACCCCCAAAATATGCTTCACCTTGAAATACAAAATAAAAAACATAAACCTTTGCCATCAAGTTGTGGCCAAGTCATGGCAACCCCAGGTGACCAAGCAGAACTGTTCCATCAGGCTTTCTTAGCTGTAATCTTGACAGAAGATCACCAGGGCTTTCTTCTGCAGTGCTACTGGCTAGTTTTGAACACCCAACCTTTTAGATTAGCAGCTAGGTGTGAACTGTTGCCACTCTGGTTCCCATAGGTCCCCAGATACTAGAAATTACAAATGTTAACACCCCAAGAGAGATTCAGACATCTCCATGCCTGTCCTCAAGCAAGGAGGAGTGAGAAAGTATCAAAATGCTACCACCACTGGGGCCTGGAAGACTGGCCTTCTCTGTGAGGCTCAGGCAAGGCCCTGGAGCAGGTCGGGTGGGGGGGGGGGGGATGGAAAAAGAAAAAGAGATAACCTCTTCCCCCAGGGTTAAGTGTTTAACAAATTACATCCAGAGGCAGAGAGCGTGTGGATGTCTAAATGGAAAAGCATGTGGGGATTTGTTTTGCCATCTGTTGAAATGTCCCCAAAATATAATCTAATTCTTCACCCCTCTACGGAAGACTTTTGTTCTTCAAGCATTCCATAGATGTGGGGAGGAAGGAATACCTTCAGGGGTCTCAACAAGTGACCCACATATGAAAAAGAAAGCGTAGTAAGTGATAAAATGTGCACAGAGGTTAAGTATGCAGCGTTCATATTCCTTCTCTGGTGCTAGTGTTTCACAGCTACATGATAGCAGGAGATTGTGAGGATGAGGTGGGGTTTGATCTGTTGTTCACGAGGTTCCTATGAATCTGGAGCCAACTTGACAGTGTCTAACGATTGTTGTCCAACTCGCAGCACAATTGTATTAAACAGCAGATCAAAACCGTGCCCGATCTTGTGCCATCCTTACAATCTCTGTTCTGTTTAAGCACACCGTTGTAGTCATTGTCTCAATCCATCCTGTTGAGGGTCTTGCTCTCCTGTGCTGACCCTCTACTTTTCCAAGTATGATACAATAGCAAAGGAGAAACAGCCACGCATGGGCTTCACACCCAGGCCAACATCACTTAATACTTTTCCACTGTGTCCTATCTGGCTATTGCTCCAGTAATCACAGTAATCAAACATAAGAACTATCACTCTCCAAGTGCCTTCTGCGTGCCAGACACTGCACCAACTACTTCAAAGGAAGGAGCTCAGGTAATGCAAAAGAACACCAGGCAGTTCTTAAAACTGACCCACATGCAATTGTCAAATCAATCCATATGCAATTATTACAACTACTGAAATTATTTTGCAAATAAAACCTGAGAGACTTATGAGGTTATTTACTTACCCAAGAAAAGAGTAACTCAGAGCTGTGTGAATTTCTGACCCAGGCTGTCTGCCACCAAACTCAGCAATCTCCAAAGTCCTTGTCCCCTGCCTGAATTGCGGAGGCTGCCACTCATTTTTATACCTAAGATGTTTCTACTTCTAAGACGTGAAATATAATTAATATGCTCAGTGGGGTTTTAAAAATTGATGATTAATGTAGTAACAACAAACCAGTTATTTTCCAAATGATTTATGAGAAAGAGAATTAGGGTAAACCCTGAGGTGGAATAAAGAACGGACGGCATTAGACTAATCCTACAAAGTTTATTACTATCATTGTTTATCGATTCAATTAAATGTTTCAAAGGTTTCCAATGAGGCAAGTGCTGTGTTAACCAAAAAACTAAGCTCCCTGACATTAAGACAATTTCAACTCCTGGTAATTTACTGTGCTTTCCCTTTTTTTTAGGGAGCCCTGGAGGCTTAGTGGATATGGAGTCACACTGCTAACCCAAAGGCCAGCAGTTTGAGTCTACCAATTACTTCACTGGCAGAAATATGAGCAATCTCCTCTCATGTGAGTTACAGCCTCTGAAAACCAGGATGTTTTCAGAGCGTCAGCCATAAATTGGTTCTAAATCCACAGCAGGAAGGTAGACTGAGTAAGCAACTCCACATCGGGCTTCTGAGGCTGTAAATCTTGATAGGAAGAGACGGCCCACCTTTCCCCATCAGAGTAGCTGGTGGATTTGAACTGCTGACTTGTCAAATCTAAAAACAGGGCCTCACATAACACAGAGAGCCCCACTGCACCCACCGTTTCCACAGCTTCTCAGGTACTGTGCTAGTTACCCATATAAACAGCACGGGCAGAGTGGAGATTATAGTAGGAGTGGAGGATTCTGATCTCTATCAGCTTCACAATGGGCAAGTTAGTGGTAGACAACAGCATCAACAGCATCAACAGCATCAACACCACCAACGCCATCAACAGCCCAGTTTCTATGAGGCCAGACATAAGCCCACGATCCATACACTAATCCTTTTCTCTCAATTCTAACACATGCTATACTTCCCGCAACACTCACTGCTCCTCTACTGGGTTCAGTAATTAGCTGAAATGGCCACACATAACTCATAGACAATACTCTAGTATGTAGTTTATTGAGGAAGTCACAGGCTACAGTGAAGAAACAACTCAGGACACAGTTATCCAATGAGGACAACCTCTTGTCAGCAGTGCAAAGGCAGGCCTTTCTCTGACCCTTGGGTCATGGCCTCAGCACTGTAACAAGTGTTACAAAGCTCTTTGAGTTCTGGTAATCATGTGCCCGGAGGCATCCTTTGGTTAGTCAGAAAGCTGAGGCCTGAGAGCGTGTGGCTAGAGCTCCTTGAATCAGCAAATCTGATCTTTCAAAAACATCTAAAACACCCACGCAGCAAGCACTCATTTCTCTCACCCAATGGCTGGGAGTCCACGGCTCATCTCAGACCATTCTCCTATGCCACCTCTGCGTTGGCCACTGCCGTCTCCTCTCACACCGCCTCTGTGTTATTACGGCGGTGGTTCACTGAAAGATCTCACGGCCAAAGGACACACAGTCCTCTCTGGCTCTTCCCTCTTGATGGTCATGATATTCTCATTTTCCACCTCTGTGATGAGTGAAATCTGGAGGGATAGCAAAACTGACCAGTCCCCATGGCAGCGTTCTACAGCCCTGATCTGCCTGGCCCCATCCAAAACCTACCACTTAACTTTTTACATTATTATTGAGCTATCCAATCCCTTTGAGGAGCTACAGACACCTTCTCCTTGCATTGTCCTACCCAGCCCTGTAGTGAGAGCTACATAGACCACATCTTAAAACCGCATTATCAATAATTCACTGCACAGCAGCACCAGGCATGCAAAGCCTAATAGACAACATGATCTTTAAACACCATGTGCAGGAAACACTGCCACATAACAAAAAACTGCATAACGTACGTACAAAGGAAATGGACAGCCCACAAGTGTCACAGCACCTTTTAGGTGCCTATGAGTAATTCCCATTTATTAGATGCCAAGGTTGGAAGATGAAGACAGAGGATCCGCCTTCCTCTGGGACACAGCTGAAGAAACTCTTATCACGAGCACACATGCTCAAACCTAGTCCACACTCCTGATCATCGAGCAAGAAGGACAAGCCAGCCACCAAAGCCAGAAGTCCACCTCCAGAAATCCAGCAGGTCACGTTCATGGCCCGGTCTGAGGTGAAATATGAAAGAAGAGCTTTTTCACTTTCACTCCTCTAGCCAAGAATGGACAGGAGTCTGTTAGATTTTGGAAATCTTATAGCTTCTCAAAAAGGGGACTCAGGCCTCCTCGAGCTGTTCTATCCCTTAAATTAATAATCCCTTATGATTGACTCCCTCAGAGGCACAAATATAATAATATACTTACATTGAGGTAGCACTTCTTAGTAGACAAAACAGTAAGTCTCCAGGACTTGAACCTAAGAATGGACCCTAATAAAGTCAGTTGTATTAAAATTTTCCATTAAATAAAATAGTTCTTGTAATACTGCAGCACAAGTTTGTGATGTTCATGAAAGCATTGCGGGGTTCTGGGGGGACACCACAGTCCACCTTTTAAAATCCATTCACATGGCTAATAATACTACGTTGAGTGTGGAACTCTAGATTTGGCCTAATGTTCCTCTTCTTTGCCCTTCTAACCATGCCTCCAGAGCCTAGAGTCATGCAGGTCCTGGTGAAACCAAAGGGAAGGGAAAGGATGACAACTGAAAAGAAAGTAGAAATAATAAGGCAACCAGACAGATGCAATAGCACTGGTCACTGGGAAAGGAGGCCACAGTCAGGCAAGGACTGGACCATTTTAAAGGACGAAGTGAGGATAACGAGGCACGTGAAAGGCTCTGCCTGGATGAAAGCTACAACTCTTTCTAAGTAATGGGGTGGCTTAATTACTGAGATGGAAAGGCTTTGGTCAGATGATCAACATCAGCATACGATGCCCATTTGCCTTACTCTGGTACAAGGAAAGGGGTGAAGCCTTTCCAATGATTTAAAAGGTGCACCTGCAGACATAAAAGTGAACAGCGGTGAAGGTGAGGAATCGCGCGGAGGCGCAGGCTCAATGGTTTCAAAGTGAGGACAAATTTACACGATGCATAAAGTGCAGGGGAAAGAAAGCAGCAAATGCTGAGGTAAGTGCATGAGGGGATTTTCCGGAGTTGTTGAGAGAAAATGAAAAAAATGTGCAGGGAGGTCATTTGCCAAACCAAATATTTAATGTAGACAAGACTGGCTTATTTGGGGGAAACAAATCCTGAATGAACTTTTCAAAAAAAATGAGAAAAAGTACACCGGGGAACAGGCTGACACGACTGCTCAGGGCTGGTGTATCAGGGACTTGGAGCTGATGCCTGTGCTTGCATGTTGTTCTCTAAATCTGAGTGCACGTCACTCTGCCATTAAGGCATGTCTTCCATTATTCAGAAGGCAAAGTCACAGGCTTGGGTTGCAACTGTCATCCTTGAAGGCTGGCTCTGTAATCATTTGGCCCTTATATCA